GAGGGCGAGAGTAATCGAGAATAATTATTTCCGTGCTACTGATCGAGTGGAGTTCCCTCTTTGAATATTGTAAAGTCCGCCCTGGCACGCCAACATCGACGATGGAACGCGCTTAATGGTAGTCATTCGGGAGATAAGTAATGGCTCTCCCGTTTCGATCGGCGCATCGGATAGTTATCAATCATGCCCACTAAAGCCGGCAGCCTGTCATTACGCGTTCTTCTCATTTTGCACGACACTCGGTACATCGAGAACTCGCCCGCGGAGGCGATTGCCTTACGTAATTTTTCCGCAAAAATGCGGTTCCCGCATAACGTTGATGCCGTTCATCTTCATCGCGACGAAGACTATCCGCGCGACTATTATACAAGTGTGGTCACAGTTTGCGTCAGAGCTAATCAAGCTCTTACAGATATTTGATACAGTCTCTCTCCCTTTTTCTCCTTCTCTTCTCTCTCTCTCTCTCTCTTTCAAAAATAAATATGATATGTGAATTTCAAACAGAGCACATTCAATCTGTAACCATTATAGAATGACACGAAAAAATCGTGGCTTTTCGACGAACGAGAAAATCCAATGTTACAAATAAGGAAGTGGAATTATTATACTTTTTAATTGTCTTACGACGATCTCGCTCGAGATCGAATCGATGTATTACAGATAACGCGATCTATCATCTTCGGTGAGGTCAATAAAAGAAATTGCCGAGGATCACGTAGCTCCGACTTTGCTATTTAATTCCGCAAAACTTCCCCCGGATATATCACGAGCTGTCCGCACTGCGGTTAGTTCCGACGCCGCCGTAATAGTTCGGAGTTAATACCGCGTGCATGCGCGACGTGAGTGCCGGCGGTGATGGTTCTTTGAATAACAAGGCGTCATTCAAAGGGACGCCGACGCGCGTTCGTGGCATGCCAAAGAGAGAAAAGCTTCTCCCGGGGTCCAGGGCGTAATCTAGTTCGCGCGATTTCCACATGAACGGCCACGAGAATTCCGTGCCAAGTCGCCGCGCGGGTGCGTTATTTTCGGCCGCTTTTCTTTTTGTCAATTTAAAACGTCGTTAGTCGCGCATTTGGGAACACTCGGGGTCCCTCCTTCATAGACCGGACGCGACGGGGATTACACGCTATCCACCCTTTCATCAGCGTTACGCAGAGCCGTTGACAGTTTCTGGCCCCGGTTCTTTTGCTATATGGCCGAGGGGATAGAGGTGCGTCGCTTGTTCTTCATCTTCCTTTTTTTTCTTTCTCTCTCTCTCGCCGTATCTCTTCTCGTGTGGCGAGCGAACTGAATCAACTGAGAAAGGGGAGAGCGCTCGTCGCGTCGCACAAGCTTTTTTACCGTATTTTTACCGACCACGCCGCGAAACATTCATTTCGCTTCGCCATTATTCCCCAGTTATCCCCCTCCCGCATAGATTTATCAGCGGCTACTTTGCGCTTGGCTTTTCGTTGCATGTTAGGCGTCAAAGGAACACCGCAAATGCTCCCTCTGCCCATTTTTATTTCAGTACGAGCGTGTAATGCCGTGGCGTTATTAAATTTCTCAGCGGGATTATAACGCGTTGTACCAGATAGATTTTTATGAAGTCAAAGAATATTGCGATAAAGCTATTCAGGCGAAGATATAAAAGAAACGTATCATATTTTTATTACTTATCGTATAATTTTCGTAGTAATTAATTATGTGGCGCGTCAAGTTTATTGACTTGAAGATCCAATTATCTGTCAGGTTATTATTTATCTCGGTTATTACATAAATAATTAAAATAAAAATTGTCATCCGATAGACAATTGTATCTTCTTTAAAGAAATACGATAATTATATAAATTATATAAATTATGTAGATACATTATCAAAAGTATTAATGATACGGAGTTTTATATATTTCGCTTTAATTACTATTTTATCCATTTTAATTATAAAAGATATTTGATTAATGGAACATACGATTTATCATGTGTAGTTGATAAATGTGATAAAAATTTGAAACGTAGATTTAATTGTTACATTATTTTATGATATATACGATATTGAAATTTATAAGGAAAGATGAGACGTAACTTCTCTCGTTCATCTTCATTTAAAAACCGCGAATTCGCTTCTGCAACAAATGGGCTGCTTATATTTATGCGATCGTGATTGGTAGCGTTGGGCACATCGCGTTTACATTATAGAGACCTCCCGACGTTTCTTACAAAATGGAAAGCAGTCGTACTGGGAGGACGGGATATAGGAAAGCAATCTTCCACGACGAGTATCGCGAGGGTCGACTGAGAGTGGTTAGGTGAGTAACGCATAGATCGGTATCTACGTAGGTATCTTTACGTCAGTGTTTCCCAAATGGTGCTCCCCGGAATGCCAAATAAAATAAAAATGGAAAACTTAATTTATAGCCCCGTATCATGAATTTATTTATTTAATTTGTTCCGACCGTTTCTTGTAGCTTGCATATGAGTGCTCTTTAATACCGTTTCCCTTTTATGAAAATTGAATTCGATTGAATCCAGCGAAAGGAAAGATATTGTAATTTAAATTCAGATATGCGTTACTATTATTACACAGAAATGAGATAAAATTTTAAGTCAATGATGTCGAAAACGTACAAGTTTTGCAAGCGTATTGTCGGAATTTATAACTTGGCGTTTTAATATCGTTTCTTTACAACGTGTGTACACTGAAAAAAAAATTTGTTCATCTAATCGAACACATTTAGTTTGCAGATTTAGTTAATATTCAACAAATTTTATTTCATCGAATTCAACCGTAGTCTGCATAACATTGAACAGTTTGTTAGTTGAACAAATTTTTTTTTCAGTGTATGTATTGTAATTATACAGTAATTTATTATATATGGATTGAGCATAAATACATGGAAAAAATGCTCAAGTATTTGAAAATTTAGCTACATACACAGATCTGGAAACAATTTCGTTGGATCGTCAAAATAACGTGGAATTTTAAGGAATATTGATAATAATACTGTAATACTCTAACCACTGGTTTGAGCATCTTATTTCGACGGTCCAAAGGAAATTATTTTCAGATCTATATCTAGCTAAATATTTCGATGCTTCAGCAAGACCGTTTCTTCCGTGATACAACATACATATATGGACTGATGAAAGTCTATGCGACGTACGCAGGGAAACGGTATCAGGAAACGGAAAAGAAATATCGCGGTCTTTCCTTGAAGTCGAGCGCAATTACGGGCTCTATGACGTATTCCGGAGAATTCAGTCGCCATATAACAAATTGGGAAACACTGCTCCACGTGGATGGGATAGATGGAGAGGAGATAGTCGGGCTGCAGATCGCGTCCGTCTCGCGTGTCCGCAATTTTTCCGGCAGAATCGTTGCCCGCTCGTTCCATAATGCATGCCGTGCGCCGCGCAATGCCCTGTACGATGCGATGCGATGCGGCCAGGCCGCGTCGCCGGACGTTCTCATACGCTGCGAAAGAGAGGAGAGAGTCGATAGAGGCGGAGGTGGAGGGCGCAGAAGGGGTAGCCGGGTAGCGGAGACTGCGGAGAGTCGGGGGGGCGGAGGGGGGGCGGAGAAAAGAGGAGAGAAAGAGAGAACGACTGGCATCTCCAACGAGAGCGAGAAGCTTTTTCGTTATGATCGTAATCTTAGAACCAGACCAGCCGCGGGCATCCCGGACCAGCCGGACGACTGCTACTCCGCTCGATTTCTTACTCGTCTCTTATACACCCGTCCCTCCGGTCGATACACGACTTTAATTCCGCCATTTGCGGGGGCGATGTATACGCATCGGAGAACGACGCCCCGCTGCAATCCGATATGCATGCCGCGCCGAGGGAGAGAGAGAGAGAGAGAGAGAGAGCGAGAGATGGCCGAGCGTTTGTCCACGTCGGGCGACTGGCGTGTAACGAGCAAAATCACTCTGATTGCGCATGCCATGTGTATTACATGCGCGAAACGCGGATCCCAATCGCAGTTGGCTGAGAAATTTCCGCGGTTGGGTTTCCCCCTTGCGTCGCGGTGCTCAAATATACCGTATTTCCCTTCTGGCGGAGAGCACGAACGATCATCTCGCGCAGCAGCTCAACTATAAAAGTGAAAATAATATGAAGTTTGAGCGATTCTGCAATCAGATATCGAGATCGAAAATGTTCTTTCGGCTTTGGATATGACGTTATTCAGCTCTAGTCGATTGTTTTGCATGGTAAATCTCGTAGATGTGCATCCAGTGCTGACTGCTGAATAAATGATAGCGCTTCGTAATACGTATATATTATATATACATATATACCGCTAGTCGCAGTGCGCTACTCGTGAAATTCGTACGCATAACTGGAATAACGGGATGAAAG